AGGGAAAGACAAAGTAATGGAGAAACATAGTGGCTACAAGTGTTTTCAAGAGTTGGTCCTTTGATTACACCAAGAAAACGGGCCGACATTTATGCATTTGTTTTCATCGACGGGTAACACTGCGTCGGTCTCGGGCGTACGTACGACATGACAGCTGTGCGCTGTGAAAGTCGTTAACTTGTATCACCACGCGGTTACAATTTTTTCTTGTGCTGAGAATGTTCAAGATCTCTGGTAGCACCTTCCAAATATCTGTATGTATCTTGTAACTGGAAGTTTGTACCTTTCCACCCCTCCCCCAACCCCTGCCTCCGGCACCCACCAATCCGTTCTTGGTATCTGTGAGTTCATTTTTTAAAAATCTCACTTTGAAGTGAGATCATACTGTATCTGTCATTCCCAGTCTGACTGATTTCACTTAGTATAACGTCTTCAAGTTTTCTTCATGTTGTCGCAAATGGCAGGATTTCCTCCTTTTTTATGGCTGAATAATATTCCACTGTATATGCATATATATATATATACATCTTCCTTACCCATTCATCTGCCAGTGGACTTATAGGTTGTTTCAATGTCTTGGCTACTGTACATAATGCTACAGGGAACATGGGGAAGCTGATAACTTTTTGAAATAGTGATTTTGTTTCCTTTGGATAGATGCCCAGAAGTGGCATTGCTGGATAATGTGGTAGCTTTATTTTTAATTTTTCAAGGAACTTCAATACTGTTGTCCACGGTGGCTACACCCGCCTACAGTCCCACCGACAGTGCACAAAGGTTCCCTTTTCTTCCACATCCTCAGCGGCGCCATTATTTCTTCCATTTTTGATAAAAACCATTCTGACAAGATTGTGAGATCGTTTTTTTCAAAGGAGAAATAATGCAAATAAGTATCGTTTTACTAGGTAAACGAGCCAAGGGAACAAACAGGTCAATGTTCCGAGGGAACACAAAATACCAAGGGCAAAAATGAAAAACAAATCCAATTTCCCTTATTATTAAATCGAGATACTTCTTGAATGTTAATTGATCGATATAATAAAAGTCAACATTCTGTACTAGCGAGAATGAATACAAATTGATGTTCCTACACCTGTAATTGTATAAACAACTTCATGCTTTCTTATTTTATTAGCTAATTATGAATTGATTAAATATGCATTCATTCGGGATGCATGCGGGGCTCGGGGTCAGAGATGCAACAGAGAACAGACGAGAACAGTGTTCAGCGTTAATGAAGCTGATAAACGACAGGAGTTACACTTCAGTGCAGCGAATGCCTCTCTAGGAGGCCAAAAGGCCCAGCCAGGTACGCCAAACTCAGAACTTCCCAGTGAAGTCACATAGAAATGTACATCTACGGGACGCGAAGGAATGAGCACCGTGACGTTGGTGGGGAGGACGAAGCTCGGAGGAGGACTCTGTGGCTGCGGACCTGCTATGTGGACAGGCAGACGGGCCCGTGAGACTATGAAAGTTTTCTGGAAATCTACTAAAAAGGAGACGGGGAATCAATGGTAGAATGGGCTGGAGTCTAGAACATTGCAAAAGAGAAGAAAAATCACAAGCCAAAGATACAGTCGATGTCCTCGAAAATGCGAGTAATTTTAGTCACGGGAGGACCCAGCATTTAGAAAGAACTACGCTGCAGGCTTTTTTTTTTTTTGCGGGCTTCTTCTGAGTTAGCACATTCTTTTCTTTTCTGATTGATAACCAGGGGTCCTTATCTCTTAATTTGCCACATTTTTCTTTCTTTTACCTACTGATTGGTTTGCAGCCCTTAATTATATCGTGCAATTTCCTGTGTCTAAAGAATTTCACGTGTCCCTTTATTAGCAACCTATTTGGTATATTAAAAAACACTCTTACAGCTTCTGAAATTTGAAGTGTAGATGCATTTGCTTGTATGTTTATTTAATAGAGACTTACTGAACTTCGACCATATGGCCATATTGTGCTGGGTACTGAGTACACATTAATAAATTACACAAAAATGGCCCCTGACCTTGCGGAGTTTACTGATAAACTCATAGCACTAGGAAAGGAAAACAAACCCGGCGTGCTTTAAATACAAATTACACATTTGGATGAGATGATGAAGGAAGTGACTTGGTCAGAGTAATAAAAGACGGTGCAAGGGATCAGCTAAGATAACATGCTCGGGAAAGAATTTTCTGAAAAGGTGAAATTTAAGCTGATACTTAAGGGATTATGGGAGAGTTGGCAAAGAATTGACGGCGCATGATTCCAGGCAGGAAAAAAGCAGAGTATTTGAAGGCCAGAGATAATTAAGTGGATTTGTGGTTGACTTTTCCAGCAACGCAGATGAGCTGACCAACAAGCAACGGCCAACACTCTTTTCTGGTCTGTCTCTGTGACCGAGGAAGTCCAAGCTAACGACTTGATTTATCACCCTTTCGGCCGTGTTCCGATCAAGAGCAGTGAGGAAAAGTCCTGTGTCCTTTTACAC